GTGCAGCATCGAATCTTGTGATAGTTAGACCATAGCAACACGTTGACATAGTTGAGTGCTTTCAAAAATTTAATTCAAAAAAATTTTAGGGAAACTTGACCGGACGATCGTTGAGGAGTGGTTGAAATTGATGGAAATGATTTTCAATCGTATGGCTATAGAGGATGCTAATAAGGTGGCATGTGCCATTTTTATGCCGATTAGTGATGCACGTATCCGGTGGGAATCAACTAAGATTTCCTTCAATATGCCTTATCTTAAATGGGTGCAATTCAAGGAAGTTTTTAATAAGAAGTATTTTTTCAAATACTATGAGGATTAAGAAAATTCAAGAATTTCGAAGTTAGAACAGGGTGACATGTTTGTTATGGAATATATCCAAAAATTTAAGCTTAAATGTAGGTTCATGACATTTATTTCGGGAAATGCAGCACAAAAGAGGAAACACTTCCTTCAAGGTTTAAAGGTAGAAATTCAAAGCCTAGTCCAAGTATCTCCACATGATTATGCTCGAGATGGTCGGTAGAGCTTTTAAAATAGAGGTTAACCGAAGGAGTGGACTCGAGTTCCATTTAGCAAAAAGCTAAATATGCCAAATTGATTCAATAGATCAACCGGCAAGAGGAAACTATTTATGAGGTCGTGGTAGGGTAATGCCAAGAAAGTTAAGATTCTCGACGAGCGAAAAGTCGGTAGTGAAAGGCAAACCGAATTGCCCTAAGTATGGATGTTATCATACCGTAGACTCGTCTAATCAAAACCAATGTCTACTATTTCTATAGAGAGGCGGGACATAAAGCTACCTATTGTCCTAAGACGAAGGCTACTCCGAGGGTTCCGGGATGAGTCTACACTATGAAGCGAGAGCGAAGTTGATAAAAAGTACGCTAATGTTATATGCGGTAATATTTTGATGCTTAACTTTACGACATATACTTTGGTAGATTCGAGTACCACATATTCTTTCATTTCATGGTCGTTACTCGAAAAAATTAGGTGTGCTACCCGAAATGCTATATATAGTTTATGAGGTGGCTCTTCCATCAAGAGAGTTAATGGATTTTCATAGTATAGTCAAGAACTATGAGATCCGGAGTGATGACAAGGTTTTGAATGTTGATTTGGTAGCATTAAGACTTAGAGATTTTGATGTTATCTTGGGCATGAATTGCTTGTCCAAGTATTGAGCATCCATTATCTAGCTAGAAAAGTGGTTTTCCATCGATTAGGAAAGCATTCGTTTGAATGGAAAAATAAAACTAGAACGAAGCTAAGCAATCGGAGCTTCGACCATGATACTTGGAAAATGATTAGAGAAGGATGTATGAGTTACATTATGAATGTGGTGGACACTAATAAGGAGGAGAGTTTGAGATTGAAGGATATTAATGTAGTGAAGGATTTCCCTAATGCTTTACTTAAAAGTTTATCAAGACTACCAACAAGGAGGGAAATTAAGTTTGAGATTGAACTAGAATCGAGAACATCAACAATATCAAAGGCACCTTATAGGATGGCTCCAACAAAATTAAAGAAGTTGAAGCTCAACTTTAAGAGTTGCTAAAATAAGGGCTACATTTAGCCCAATTATTCACCATAGGGAGCACTAGTATTATTGTTAAAAAGAAAGATGGATCACTAAGATTATGTATTGATTACGTAAAGTTGAATCGGGTGACCATCAAGAATAAATACTCTCTTTGGCATAGTGATGATTTATTTGATTAGTTATGAAGAAGTGCAATATTTTCTAAAATTGATTTTCCGTCGTGGTATCATGAACTTAGGATTAAGGAAAATGACATTAAGAAAACGACCTTTAGACCTTGATATGAGCATTACTAGAAATACGAGAGCTATATTCATAGATTTGATGAACCGAGTGTTTCATGAATACTTGGATATTTTCTTCATAGTCTTTATTGACGATATCCTTATCCGATCTAGAATTCATGAGGAGCACGTGAAGCATTTAAAAAAGGTGTTACAAACATTATGTGAGCATAAATTATATGTTAAACTTTAAAAGTATGCATTTGGGCTTTAGCATGTAGTATTTATTGGACATGTAGTCTCTAAGGATGAGGTTATGGTGGATCCCAACAAAGTCTAGGAAGGGAAGCGACCAAAGAATGTATCTAAAATTAGAAGTTTCCTAGGAATGATAGGCTATTACTAGAAGTTTATGGAAGGATTTTCTAAGATAGTTGCGCCATTAATCAAGTCGACACGGAAGAATGCTAAGTTCAAGTGAGATTATGATTATGAAAGGGGTTTTCAAGAGCTAAAATTCAGATTAACTACAATAATCCTATTCCTTAGAACTTAGACATGAATGGACCCTTTGTGTATTTGAGATGATTTTGTATCGAAATTGGTTTCATGTGATTTTAAAAGGGATTTAAATATATGTTTGAACAAGTGTTTTACTTGTGATTTGATATGCGATTATGGATTAAAATACTAATTTACTTTAGATTATTATTTTGATTATTCGTATAATTTTTCTAAGTTCTTATTCGATATTGAATTGCATTATTAAATCTAATTTTAGCATGAATTATATTTCATGTATTGGATTTGGATATTTTTGAGATATGTGTAGGTCTATGTGATTTTTGATTTGATTGGATATCTTTGGGTACCTAGTTATGGGGGCATAACTAATGAGCTCACTTATATGTAATGCTCGGCTAGCAGGAGAGGTGTAGTGCTAGCTTATGTGTCGACCAACATATGAAAACCTACATATGGGAGGTGTAGCCTTTGGTTATTCACATCCAATGATACGTTAAGTTTGTTTCACCCTAAGTGTAAATTTAGATATTTGATTTGATTGTGTTATATAAAGATTTTGATGATTTGATATGATTTGGTTTTTGAACCATTTAAGATACAATATATGATTTGATATTTATGATATGCAATTGACTTTAAGAAATAAGCATTGCATCTTGAGTAGAATTTTAAATTATTATTCTTAGTCCGTTTCTCTTCCTTAGATATGTTATATAGTTTCTATTTACTAAGTTCGTTGATTTGCTCACACTCCACCATTTCAATTTTGTTGGATTTGTGAGAGTGCCTTTTTTACTTTCATTAAGTTACTTACCTTGAAGCCGGCACATTGATCGTGTGGCTCATCTACTTGTAATGTCTTAGACTTACGATTTGATTTTGTTGTATTCATTAGAAGCTCTACGGTTATATCTTGTGGGAGTTGTATTAGAGATTGATTATAGATATTATTTTAAGAAATGCAAGAATATTATAGAATTATCATTTTTATTGGAGTTATAAAGTAATGATTATGAGGTTGGGATATTATAAATTAAAATGATGTTTGATGTGCTAAAAGTTTGAGGATTATCTTTAATTTGTTTCGTTTCCTTAGATATGTTATATAGTATCTATTCATATTCACCGAGTCGCTGATTTGCTCACACTCCACCATTTCGGTTTTGTTGGATTTGTGAGAGTGCCTTTTTACTCTCACTAAGTTGCTTACCTTGAAGCTAACACATTGATCATGCGACTCATTTACTTGTAATCTCTTGGACTTATGATTTGATTTTATTGTATTCATTAGAAGCTTTGCGGTCATATTGCAGTTATATCTTGAGGGAGCTGTATTAGAAATTGATTATGGATATTATTTTGAAAAATATAAGAATATTATAGAATTATCATTTGTATTGGAGCTATAAAGTAATGATTATTAGGTTAGGATATTGTAAATTGAAATGATGTTTGATGTGCTAAAGGTTTGAGGATTATAATTTAGATATTCGAGACTTGCTTGAGTTAAGATGGGCCTTATGGTTTTCTCGACTCTCGCACCAATCATGGCTCACTTCGGGGGTAGTGACAATGAAGTCGTTGTAAATTAAGCACTCGTGGATCGGGAAGTTGTTGGTAGATTTGCACATGGAACAAGAAGAAAGCACACATCTATGTGTAGACAACTAAGCTGCAATTTCGATTGCAAATAATCTTGTGTTTCATGGCAAAACAAAACGCTTTAAGTTGAAATTCTATTTTTTAAGAGAAATACAAAAAGAAGGAGAAATACAGCTAATCTATTGCAGAATAGAAAATCAAAGTGCCGACATTCTAAAAAAGGCACTTCCTAAAGCTAGGTTTGAGCTCTTGAGACAAAAGCTTGCGGTATGTAGCTCCGCATTCAAGGAGGAGTGTTGAATGTAGTGTCTCAAGACTTGCTGATGTAGGACTGCTGCTAGTGCTAATATGCAATTGACAAGGTTGCTGACTTGGTAGCAGGGCTCCTGTTTGTGGAAGTGCTACTACACATAAAGAAATCAGTTAGAAGAAGATGGTGAAGACCTGGTTTCTAGGAGGTGGTTATTTAGATCAGGTTTTCAGGAGGTTGTTATTCCTTTTGTTAGTCATGTACTTAGTGCCATAATAATCTCCATTTTATTCTCATTTTAGTTTACAATTTTAATGCATAAATTGATGCTTTATGATTCAATAAATATAGACAACTATATAGTCTCAAATTATCTTTTTTTCCCCCTTACTTTTGCACTTTGTTTATGTGAAAACCAACAGTTTGTCACAATGGTCAAGATTTCATGAAAAGCATATATCATGCAGCTCTACCTTATCCAATTTGGAAAAGGAACGGATAGGCAGCTTTTTTTCGGCAATAGAAGAAAACTGCAGTAGTAAGTCGCAACAATATGCAGAGCAGTGGAAAAGAAACAACAGTAGCACAAAATCCTGGTAAAACACAAACACAAACACAAAAGCAACACTGAAATCGAGGACAACAGCACTAGTAATATAACAGCAGCAGCACTGACAAACACTAAAACCCTAGCGCGTCCAAGGGGATGGTTACCAACCAATGCACAAGCAAAATCGAAGAAAGGTAACATCGAAATTTATAGACAAAACCATGTTATCTGTAGAGAAACTTGTAGAATCTGATAAAAACATTAGTAGCTCTAGGGATACTAAGAAAGGACTTTACTAACTTAAGCAGCGACTTTGGTCGAGGGTCTTAAGGGAACAACTTCAGCCACAACTCGAAATATGATCACGTTGAAGATGACTGTCTCCTTGTTTGCCTTCGCTCCCTGTTTGAGCTCAAAGATACAGATATCAGATTCTTCTAAGTTGTTGTCCAGAACAAATTTACACCATCCTTTTCCAATTCCAAATTTGTACTTGTTGTTTTTTAACCGAACAGACCATGTCTTTTTACTTGCAGGGACTCTTAGCTCAATTTCCATACCATTTGTAGCAGGAATATGCTTCTTTCTCCACTCTTTAGGGATACACTGCAAGAATCATGTACGGATATCATTAAAATCTCCTTTTGCATCAGATTACAAAAGTACAAACTGTATTCATATTTTACGCAATAAAAAGAATAAAATGCAAGATTTAAGAACGTAGAACTTACCAAGAAAAAGTAATGATACACATTAGTAGGCTTCATGACCCGCTTGAATGAAGGTTGAGTAGATGAATGCTTGGCAGCCAACAGGCGAGCTCTCTTCTTCTCTTCTGCAGTTACTTGTCTTCTGTTTGATAGAAGATAGTAGGAATAACTTTTTTCCCAGCCCTGCTTTCCATAGGACCTGATTCATTCATAGGAAAATAACCAGAACATGTCATAGAAGTAAATGTATTGGATTTGATAACTTGGTATAAACGAAAAGATAATGAACCATCATACTTTCATCCCTTTGGTTCTCTCTTTCCTTCTTTGTTTTCCCTTTTTGCTTATTTTTGTTATTAGATTCATTCAATGTTATCACATTTTCCATAGGGTCATAATCCGAGTCTACGTTTGGCTTTGCAGAACAGAATCTTGAACAGGAACTTGTGTGTTCCTTGATGAAATAAGAACCTTCTCTCTCACATCCTGTCTTGGTGAAAATAGTGACCTTGAATGATGAGTTGCCCTCGTATTGAAAAACAAGAAAATCGGCTTCTTCCAAGCCATGATCTTGGACAAAATTCACCCAACCATTTTGAAATAGCCAGTCATTAGTTGTTTTTGTAAGCTTTACAGCCCAAATGTGTCCACTTGGTCCTCTAAGACGGATAGTGTCTGACAATTTTTCTTGAAACCTATTTGCAAATTGTTTGGGAATGACCTGCAAAATAACCAAAGTATTTGTTAATCATAAGGTAGTAGAAAATGTCTAGGAATCTGAAACCTGTCCGGTTTCTTTATGCTTAATAGTTCGTACTTACAAGTTGATTTCTGAACTCGCAAACCATGACCTTAAAAAACTGGTGTCTGGTGGGATCAAATTTTACCCAGTACTTGTGTTTCTCCAACATTCTTCTGCTCTGACTAATTTCTGTAATTTGTGGACACAAAAACAAATGCTATCAGATCAAAATTGCATTATCAGTTTGTTTGAGTTCTAAATACTGTCTTTAGATATGGATGAGAAAGAGAACTAGGAGTTCCAGGTTTTCTTACAAGCATACCGACTTGACTTTAGTTGTTAGACGTGTACACATTCTGTCCCAGAAATTTATCTATGTTTTCTAACACAATCATCTCTCCTTAATTTGCCATTTGGCATGAATATTTCATCGAATTTGCCTTCATCTCATAGCAAGTTCTAAATTTAACTAGCCCCACACCCCATGAATTGAGTGTTTAAGAACACTGTTATTTGTCAATCCACGTAGACCACATTACCTTAAAACACCACAACCCTCCCCTGCACATCCTCTGAATTACCAACCAAAATTTACAGTGAGTGAATAATTCCTTTTAGATTGGAATCACTAAGTCCAGCTATCAGCTATAAGGGATCCACAGATTACATCTCATATCCCACCAGGCTCACATCTCTTACAACCAAGTTAGTCTGGATAGGATCCTATATATAAATTCAATATCACTTACCAACAAAGACGCCAATCTTTGAAGGAAAGAGGCCTTCTCAAATCCTCGCACAAGACTCCAAGACTCAAGCTTCTAAAATACTGAAAAAATACGAGGAAACAACAATTACCTTCAGATATCTTTTCTTTCGAGGGTTGACCAGGACCCCTTACTTCTGTCCTGTCAGCTACTTTGGTAGCTATGAAATGGTCATCTTGATTCCTCCTCCTCGGCATTGCCCTCTCCGTGCTATGTGTACGACTCTAGTTCAAGATAGCAGCTGGAAATGATTTGAGATAGGGTGAGAGAGACCTAGTTTTAAGATAACAACGGAGAGACAGGTTTGAAGCCTATTCTTCAAGAAAGAAAGAAACAATTAAGCTTTATTTCTAGCATAACCCTCTCTCGAAGGGAATGTTTCTAGTTATTTACGCTAAACTGGCCCTTAATCCTACATGATTCAATTTTGTTTCATTGCTTCAGTGTTGTTATTAGCTAATTAACCTTATTTAGCCGGGCCTATAAAATTTTTTTTATCTATCCTTGAAAAAATTACAAGAAGCAAATGCAAGTGGTTAGGTTGTATCAATCAAACCAGAGTTCTATGGACCACTGCAGTTTTACTAGAATGGAATATAATAAATTCGCACTGAAAGTTCAACTTTCTAAATTTAGTTTAGGCTGTATCAGTCACATGCAAGACTCCACTTTGCTTGATTCTTTATTCATTTTTTTCTTTCTCAATCCATATTAAGCATAATCTGATATGACCCTTTTAAGGCAGACTTTCTATTTTGGGGAAAGATTTGAAAAAACTACTAGGTGAGTTGATTATATATCCATAAAACCAATGTAAAGTCTCTTTCCATGGGAAGCAAAACCGTGTGATGGAGGCCCTAGGAGACTCAATTTGGGAGGTGGGCGTGTTTTCTTATGTCTGGAAAATGACAATCAATCCATCAAGGTGTATGATGAAACGATTTGAATTAATTACCAAGTGAACAACCAACCAAACTCCATGTGATTATGTATTCAAGGGATACCTTTTTTTTCCTGATCATTCGAAGAGGTTTAGCTAAAGATTTAGAGAAAGCTTTCCTTAGTTTTAGGGCAGTTGCGAGACATATTGGGTCCATATGCTTCCACTGTTTTTCTGCCAAACCTGTCGAGAGACTTTAGACAATCTATATTTGAACAGCTATTCCAGCTCTCACCATTCATTGAGTCTTCATTACATGCAACCATCAGAAGAATATTTAAATTCATGTCTTCTTACCAATTTCTCTTCATTTTTGTGGTTTCCACTGTCTGTTGCTATCTACAGTCATGAGTCAGAATTCTGATATATTTTTCTGTTCAGCTACTGGGCAGAATGATAACATGTGAGAGACATCCTATGCTCCACCTTCATGGTTCCATTATCAAACATAAGAAAGCATGCCCACCTCATATACAAACTCTCACACCCACCAATCGCATGGTTTTGCTTCCCATGGAAAGGGACTGACCGAGGCATTATGATCAGTATATAATGAACTCATGGCCTGCTTTGCCTACCCATAACAAGATAAGCATTCAGTATTCTAAATTCTAAAGCTCTCCTCTACTTCTCTCTCCAGATCTTTCAATTAGTTTACAGTGCAACAAGACAACATGATCAGTGCCAAGAAGCTCATCAAATTGGCTAGGAAATGGCAGAAGCTTGCTGCTATGAGGAGAAAAAGAATCACATTGCGACAACCAGTTGGGAGAACAACCAGTTGGGAGAGCATGCACAGATACAAGCAGTTGTAGCACATCATCAACAGTTGAGAAGGGCTACTTTGTAGTATACTCCACCGATAAGAAACCTTTTTTTGCTTCCTTTGGAATATCTTAACAACAATATTGTCAGAGAGCTACTCGAAATTGCAGAAGAAGAGTTGTGTAAAGAATATCAAAGAAATGCAATACTCTGTTTTGGCTTCCACATGCTCTGTTTTACATTTCTCTCTCAAAAACTTCATTTGTCTTCTTTCCTTACCTATAAACTGATATTCTTTACATGGTATCAAAGCTTTCAAAGGTCTTAAAAGTCCTTTGAGTGACTAAGAGAGAAACCAGCAAGGCTTCCTCTCCAAAAGACCCAAAAAACTCAAACTTTAAACTCTTATGGCTTCTAGCAACACACTAGCTCTTTCACCCCTAGTTTTCAATAGTGAAAACTATCAAGTTTGGGCTGTCAAGATGAGAGCTCACCGGAGAGGTCTTGGTTTGTGGCAGTGGGTTGAAACTGAAGAGCAAATGTTGTCTTTAGAAAACAATCCTACCCTTAATCAAATTAGGGCTCATGAAGAAAAAGAAGGTAAAGCTCCAAGAGCTTTACCTTACATTCATTCTCTATCTCAAAATCAATTTCCACAAGAATTATGGCTTGAGAAACACCAAAAGAGGCTTGGGACAAGCTCAAGTAGATGTATATGGGGAGTGCCGCTATCCGATGTCGAATGAGACTCCTAAAAAATATCTAAGCTTTCTAAGTTTTTAGAGATTCATATCTCGTTTGCAAGAATTTATGAAGATGCGAGTTATTCTTGAATTTGGAGTCGTCACCTAGTATTAAAGGAACTAAAAACCTAAAATAGCATTGGTGTAGAGATTCTAGGATAAAGAGTTGGTTACGTTTTAAGAAGACAACAATCACCACAAAAAGCTATTTCCTAAGAAAGGTACTATGTTTAGTTTAGTCCTAAATTCATTTCCTAAAATATTTTATTTGTGTCAAGTTATTTTTTATTTGAACTTCAATTTTCCGAGCCAATTTAAATGTTGATGACCTATCATTCGATGGAGGAATCGCCATCGATCCTTAAGAATTTACGAGAATCGACAATTCCCTATCTATTAACTATGAATCTATTTATTGACATTTTCGGGGAAAATTGTCATCGGTTCCTAAGAAATTAGGAGACTTAACAATTCACCAATTATTGACATTTCGACGAGAAATCATCATCGATCCCTAAGAATTTAGGAGACTCGACAACTTGCCTATCTATTGACTATTAGTCTAATTATTGACATTTTAGGAAAAATTATTATCAATCCTTAAGAATTCGGGAAACTTGACAATTCACCAACCGATTAACTACTTAACTAATTTTGAAACAAAATCCTAATAAAAAGAATTGACTATGAGTGTTCCCCTTTTTTTAATCTTTTTATTTTTTTCATTTTTTGTCAATGGAGAATTGTCATCAATCCCTAAAAATTAGAAGACTTGACAATTCATCTATCATTGGATTATCTAAACTAATTAATAACAAAATTAAAATATAATTTTTTACAAATTTTTTTAATTTTTAATTTTTTGATTGATAGAGAATCTTCATTAGTCCTTAAAAATTAAGAGACTCGACAATTCATCTATCATTTATTTATCTAACCTAATTGTGGAAATAAAATTTTAAAACTAAAACTTATTAAAATTAACTAAATAAAATTTCAAGAAAACTAGAATATTAAAAGCTAAAATTAAACAAGAAATAAGCATGCATAAGTAAAAATTCAAGATAAATTATCTAAAATAAAATAAATACATAAATAACTACAATAAAACACCAAAAAAAAAAAAAATTGGATCGTAGGTCTAAAGGGGCTTGACAGTTCAGGGTTAGTCCAACCATTATTATTATTACTTTTTTGGACTGGGCTAGACCCAGCCCATGTTATTTTTGGACCGGGTCGGACTAAGACCATCCCAGTCAATATTTCCTTGGGCTAATGCTCACAAACAACTACCAATTTCTTTTCTTGTCTCTTTTTGGATCAAAACGCCTAACACTCTTTTCCCCTCTTGCTCACCTTCCCTCTAAAAAAATAGTAACCATTCCCACTGCCTTCATCCACAACTTCTCAACTATCTTCCTTAACCTTTCAGAAACCAGGTCCTATCATTATTGTTTCATGCCAAAGAAAAAACAAAAAGAAAAACATAGGACCAAACATGGTTTGGGGAACTTCATGCAGTGGTAGTGATAACACATCAAGGAAAACAAATAAAGCATACTTAGGAGAGAAATTATATAGGATAGGTTAGAAGATTATCAGAGTGAAGATGAGTGTTTGAAAATAAAATAAAGGAGTGAAACACTGGCTTAACCAAGAGTACCTTTGTTATTCAAGCTTAAACTAACAGTCCCTGTTTCAGATTTCTAACCTTACATTTTTTTTTTTTTAGTTTTCCTTTCTCTTTATTCTTTCCCCCTCCCTTCTAGCTACTGACTCCTTTTTTTTTTTCTTCTTCTTCTTCTTTTGTTTTTGTTTCTCTTCTCTATTCTCTATTGACTCTCCTCTCTCAGCCTAAACTCTTTCTTCTTCATCTCCTTTTATTAATTATAGTGGCTATATCACAAAATCAACTAAACCACCATCCCTACCTAAGCTCTTTCAATGCATCCATCCTCCTTCTCATGTATCATGGATAGTTAACAAGGCCAATGTGACAGGTTTTATTCATTACTTTAGGTTATCATATTCGTCACTATCTTCATTTTTCATGCACATCGAGGAACAAAAAACTAGAGATTGATTTAAGCTGTGAAATATAAAATGGGTGAAGAAATTACTTGTTGACCTCAATGTAATGGTGAGAGATTGAAACCGAATTCGAACAAGAAATGGACAGTGAACTCCTCGCTAATACCTCTTTTGTTCCACTATTCAAAGGCAAAGATTTCGAGTTCCAACTTTTTCTCTTCATATTCCATCTTCCTTTGATTCCTCTCCCTTTTCTTGTTACTCTCTTCTGCATCTTAAACACTAAAACCAAGAGACCTTTTAAAACTCTCAAGCCTCAAATTTCTAAAATCGAAGACGTCCTGTTTCATTTTTTTTTCTTACTCTCTACTTTTTGTTTTGTGTGCTCTCTCTTTTCTTTTTGTTCTCTATTTGCTACCTTCCTACTTTTTTCTTGTGTCTCCTCCTTGCTAACCCTAGAGGTTTGTTTTTTTATGCTCCCTTCTCTAAATTATCCTAGTCCTTCAACTCCTTCTCTCTCTCGCTAGCCGTCTGATGCCAATGTTACCCAGGACAACTGCTGGCCTCTATCATTCCTCTGGTAGTAGTGTAGCTTGCGGCTCAAGATGGGGAAAAGACATGCTGAGTTGGAGCTCAGGCTTGGGGGACCCAAGGATTCCCTTTTGTATTTGGAGTGGCTTGGCAGTTTGTACAAAACTGTAACAACCTACCTGTTATGGCACTGTTCATTTCCTTCGTTAAAGAAGAGAATGAATAGTGAATTATACCAATAAATTCATTAGCGGATGATAGGTCATACGTGGCCAAAGTGTCAAGTTCGTCCTGTTATCTACTCTCTCTTTTCAATTAGGTCCTCCTCAATTTTAATTTTTCTTCAATTAAACCCTTTGTAATAATTCTTTTTGTGCCTTTAGTTTTAATTGATTCTAATTCCTCTTTTATTTCCTTCAATAATTTCCCTACCTTTATGATATTTGTAAATTGACCTGCAATACTTTTAAAATAAATCACAATTGAATCCTTTAAAGCAAAATTGATCAATTTCTTTTCTTTTTTCATCATTTTTTTATCTTTTTGTTTTGATTTTTTTAATTCAATTTTAATAACAATAAAAATAAAATATTTATTAAACTAAAAAATAAAACAAGCTTTAACCTAAATTTAGGGTTATGATAATTTTCTCCTTCTTTACAATGCTTATGACGCAAAGTAAAATTAAAAATTTATTTTTCAATGACTTTAGATACTAAACTTGTAAAGAAATTCTCTCTCTCTCTCTCTCTTTTAGGTTGATTTAGTTGTCCCGGGCAACCTTCCTTGAAAAATATAAATGCGATAGGAGAGCTTTGTCATGAAAGACGACTTGTCTCGAAAAATTAGATATGTTGTGTATGGAAAGGTAAATATGCAATATATGACCATGTTGTAATGATGACTTGCCTTGAAAAATTAAATACACAATACATGGTCATGTTATAAAGGTGGCCTCGCCTTGAAAAACAAATATGCAATACGGGGCCATATTGTGAAGGTGGCTCGCTTTGGAAAATTAAACATGCGAGTATGTGGCCATGCTATGAAGATGGTCCGTCTTGAAAAAATAAATATGCGATACGTG